CTTTTTATTTTTAAACTTGCGGTTTGCAATGTAATAAAAAAAGAAGTTCAATCCCGGAAATACTTTTTTGCAATGCGTCTTCCATATTGTCTAATGACTATTTGCGTTACATCATACGCATCGCTTGTACGAAACTATGAAAATAAAAAAGTAACTGTAAAAAAGATATCATTATACATAAAATATTATATCAAAAGTATAATTATGTATAACATTTATTCATTTAATAATAATTACAGATGAAATCACTTAAATATAAAAGAAACGATTACTATCATTAGTTATGATTTTTTTGTGTAACGAAACGTTTTGAAGCACTTGTCAGTTGTCAGCTGTCAGTGTCAATATTATCTTTCATTCCTGCGTTTCCGTTGTTTTCGCGTTATTTGTCATTATTGTTTTGTGTTTTAAACAAAAACCGCAAGTTTTACAGGTTTCAGGACAAATGTTTAGGTATCGGTAATTAATACACTACACGATGCTGAATACTACTTACTTGTACATGACTTCTAATATAGTGGGTCAAAATTGTACTGAGCACCTGGCATTGTCCTTTGTTGAATATATATTAAAATTAAGTTAGTCATAAAAATTAATTAATTAAAGTGTTATTAAATATTTCTGCAAATAGGCTGCAAGGCACCATTTTTACACGTCAATTTTATCAAGCGAACGATGAGGGCGACATTTCCTAACTGACTACTCTGAGAAGAAATGCCCAAACAAACTCAGAGGTCTGTCTCTTTTAAAGTCCAGACAAATGTGTATAAAAGATTAAGTGTGAGAACCGTGCAAGTTCTTTCTGTAGTGGCCTTTTGAGGAAAGAACCACAACAGTTTGAGCGGACCCGCTCTGAAGGCAGTACGCACGTGTCGGTTTACAGTCAGCTCAATTAACAGGTGAGGCTGACTGATTCGACGAACAACACCAACCTAAAGAACATTTGCGTGGGTCGCACAAATACTCAAACTGTCAGAATATGGGTAATTAGAAAAGAAATGGCGATGCAAAATCTCGCACGGTATTTTTTTTTATTCTATTATAATGAACAGTCGAAACAATTTATTTTTGATTAAAGAAAGTACCCAATTATTCTTAACCATTTATCGGATTTACTTAGGTAGCAATCAAGCTATCACGATCAACCTGTTGGCATCCATTGCCGTATATAGGCATTCTTAACGATAAATTTTATTTAACATCTATTTTTTTCATATTCACACATAATTTAGCGTAGGTATAGACGTAGGTACCCACAGACGGTTATTGTGTTGACGAGACGCTGATCTCCGCACAGTCAGCACGGTGGCTAGGCAACCGGCTGCCGCGAAACGTGTAGATCGATTCCCGTACGGAACAACTTGTTGTTGAACCGGGGAGGTCCTTATTAACGTATACTGCTAAACCACGGCGGCATATATGTGAATAATTCCATTGTCGGAAGACGACGAGGTTCGTCACGTCACGTCGACTCCGCCACGTCAGTTGCTGTCGTAGATATATTAAAGAAGATTTCTGTGGTTGCTGTATATTCAAGCGTTTAATCGCTACAGAGATTCTTTGTGTGATCCACAAATAGTTATTTCAGGTCTGGGTGTGATGTGAATGTAAAATTATTTGTTTGTAAACAAAGTAACGAAACGGGAGAAAATCCTAGTGTGCCCCGAAGTTTTTTATTTAAAAGAAAATAAAAGATTATTTTTCCACGAAACCTGCTTTCGTATTGTAAAGTGTAGTCTGTTGTAGACTTATGAAACAAACACAACAATATCTGACAGAAAACTAAACTTAACCCCTTCGATTGTACATAATTACATAAAATAGAGTTATTATAACACTACAATACAACAATTACACAAATAAACACATCACATACGATTCGTGTCTGTCATCGTCCGCATATTGATGAGGTAGTCCAGCGATATATTGAATACATTGGTCCTCGGGGACACAGGTTCATTACGATAATACTGCCATGTTCCAACCTCTGGACCCACTTACACAAATTAAGTACAACTATATACCTATGCATACGGACAAACACTCTATTTAGTATTTATCGTGTGTTATCAGCAGAGGAGAATACATTTGTTAATATGAGAATACAGTTGAGAATACACTTCCCTTACTCTTTCCGTGGGTTTGAGCTGTATTGAATAGAAGCAGGCGTTACTTTCCGGATATCTATGCTAATTAGTGGGAAAATGCATATTTAGTTTAATTTCGCTGAAGGAATGAGTTTGTAGCATGCAGTATGTACCACCCTCTCGCCCGCAGATAAACGCTCATGCAACAGAGGTGCGTCACAAAAAAGATACACGAACACGACACAGCGTCAACAACTCCTGAGGATGCTCCGTGGAGGAGGGAAACATGTTTTTTTGAGGGGGGAATATCATCCAATGACTTCTTCCGCCCGGGTGAGGCGAGAGGGAGTGTCAGACTCTTACTGACTAAAAACCACCCCGTTCCTACTCCTGCTCTTCGAGCCGGAGCCCCGGTAACCCGTTATGTCTTCCGCGGCTCCATATCGGCATTAGCCCTATTGGGCCCCATCTATGGTGGTCTGATGGCTCCTTGAGGCGCACACAAAACGCGACGCGCCGTACTCTCGGAGTCTCGGGTAGCGAATCATATGTCGAGTGTGGTTCGAATAGTTTGTTGCGTGTTGTGTGTATTATTTATCTGTGCGCGGGAGGGTGGTGCTGCATACTGCATGCTGCAGATTTATTCCTTCATATCAATTTAAAGCGACTTTACGGAAACTTCTCATTGACAAATGTTATTATTCAAAACATACTTTTTAATTGATAAATTTTAACATTAAGTATTTAATTTTCATGACATGTTATTATTGTTTGTATTGAAATTTTAATCTTAATTATGACTTACTGTTAAATTTAATCTAACAGTTCTTTTTTTTATCATATTTTGCATGCTAAAACCAAAAACCAACTTATTAGAACTTACTTAAATAAATGATTTCATTTGATTCAGCGGAATAAAACTACTATATTTTCCCAGTTGTTAGTGTTGCAGGGATTTCTGCAAAGTAACGCCTAATTCTATTCTATACAACTCTTAGAACATCCGCGAGTAGAGCGGGGGAATGCACTTTGATGACCCTCAACTTTAATAAGCTGCGATCTCCAACTTGCCTGCCAAGACAGGAGACTATGGCAAACCCCTCATCTTAGTCAGAGGAGGCCCAATTTGGTCTAGCTGTGAATTGGTTCGAGCTGTCGATGTGATGATTCTGCCTTTAGTTACATCATAAATAAGAAAGCAAACGTTATACATTATTTATATATACAAAATGTAGTTTTGAAACCGTGTCATTTCTCGGGGGCATGTCACAGAAGTCATAAAGGTTCAATGTAAAAGAAAGTTTCGGACAATAGTTAAAAATACGGCTATAATAAATCGTTTAAGTTCGACAGTATTTCAGAATAAGTGACAGCAATGTTTCTTATTGGAGTTTTATGGAATAAGAATAATATCAATTACGTGTTTGAGTTTGTGTGTGTTGAGCCGCGTAATAATGATAGTTACAAGACGGCGGCGTGTAGTTCGCACTTACGGATTTCCGTAATTTACAAAAAAATGAAAAATATTTACCTACAATTATTTTTATTGATTCGAACTCAGAATCGATAGCCGAGTTACCTCCTAGAAAATGACGCGGCTTTAAAACAACACCTTGTATAGTTTACCCGTAACTGCTGTGGCTTTAAAATAGCAGCACGTTTTTTTTGTTGACAGTTTAAGGTCATTTCGGTCATTAAATATTCTAGTTAACAGTTTATTTCACGTATTCCTACTTTTGTCTATCCTATCAACATGATACTACATATCTTTACGCGTATAATTCCCGATTCGTACTTTTGTAGCTATGTAGGTAAGTTTGGAATATACTAAAGTTTAGGCTTACTTAGTTTGTTTGGCTATGACTCTTCTGCACGCTAATGGGGCGTGTATTCGATTATTCGTAATTAGTATTATTTTATCAGCATAACAGTGTTAGTGGCCTTTTTATTTTTTTTTATTGTAACTCAGTAAAGAGCACATAGCTACTCCTAAGTTATTTTTCTTCTCTAATTATATGTAGCTAATAGTAGTTTGTAAAAGGCTCATTCTTTATTAAAATGGTAACGACTAAAAACCGCTGCAACTCCTATAAGCGAGGATCTACAGTAGATACAACTATGAAAACACCAGAACACTGAAGTCCGGCGCGTCCCAGGGACATGAATAACTGTCTTGAATCCCGCAACGAAGTGGATTAGAAGACATTATAAGAACAGAAGAAAAAAACGATAGTTTCCACTTTCGTCGAAGGAAAAACATATTAATTTGCCACTTCCCTCGGTGAATTACTGCAGGAGACAGAATAAATTAAGCCTAAAGGCACAAAAAAGAGACTATACAACTGGGTGAAGCCCAGCCGCCAAGTGTCTATTATCAACTACTTTCCATGTTTAGTATGACTATTTGTACACGAGTTTTACATAAAATCCATGTAGCCTATGTCGTCATGAACTCGCCACTTCACGTGTAGACGGGCGCATGACTAATACCATTTTAATATCTTATTCACACTCCTCGCTACTTATACTTCATCACGTGAATTCAACAAGGACTTTGACAACTTGAACTTGACGATATTAGAGTAAGCATCACGTTTATAAGATCGACCTTCCCATAGCACAACAACTAAAAACCAACCTATAAATAACAGACATAGAATACAATTTTCAGTAACGCTGGATGTGAGAACTGAGGCCGTTGTGTTTTAAATTAATTTGGGCAGTGTTGTGGTGGTAATAGAGGTGATTTTCGAATAGTGGCTGTTTGTAAATGTTTAAACAGATAGACGTAAGCCCGTCCTTTCTATAAGGCTTCATCGCATTAAGCACGAGTAGGCAGGAAATCTTTAGAGGTGCACCGTGTGTTTGTTGATAGATAAATAATTACGAATATTTGAACAAAAATCCACTTACCTAGGTCTTCTTGCAGCGTTAGGGAACTTTAAAATCCCAGCTGATTTCCTCCTATCCTTCACTATCGGCACCATAAGCAGGTCTTCATCTTCAGTCTCTGAACAGCTGTCCAAGTTCACCAGCGCTGGTGCTGACCCACGCCGGTTAGAGTTCTTAGGCACTTCCAACATCTCTCTAATCACTTCACAATATTTACACGCATTTGCCTCAGCCATGTATGCTTTAGTTATAGCATACGCATAGTTCTCTAAGAAACACTTGTGACACCCCGGAACATAGTTCGTCTCCAAATCAGTAGACTCTTCACTAGGTTCCTGTGTTAAATGTATCTTCTTATCCATAACCATCAAACTCGTTTCTTTACTTCTCTTGTCTTCTTTCGTCTTTTGTTCTTCTTTGTGCTTATGTTCTTTGTGCTTGTGTTCGTCTGTGTGCTTCTTCTCTTTATGTTTGTGCTCCGCTTTGTGCTTTTTCTCTTCTTCCAACTTCTTCTGTCGTATTTCTTTCAAGCATTCAGCTTGGTCGTTGTAGTATTCGACGCATTGTATCCTCTCTTGTTTGGACGGCTTCGTGGGACTCCTTTCTTTTTTCTTCTTTTTATGAGTAATGTTTACGTTTAATGGTTCTATTCTCAATGATTTCATTTGCTTTATTATATGTTCGTGGACGTACGGGCGGCTGTACGAGACGTCGTCGCCACCCGTCGCATTGGCAGTGTTCTGTTGCTTTACTGTTTTGGCACTTACATCGTTGTCTTTGTTTTTAAATACTATTTTATCATCGTGTTTACTGAACTCTTTGATGTCAGTATCGCCGTTCATTTTACGACCGTTTTTTACTGTGCAATTCTGTGATGACGAGTCTTCGTCCAGACATGTTTCGTAACCGTCTATTTCATGATCTATATACAGAAGGGAATTGTTTTCTTCCTGGACGGAAATTCTTGTGGTCGCATCGTAAAAACTAACGGTTTCTTCGTTTGGGGAATTGAGGCACTCTTTCCAACTTTCATCGCTCTTCACTTTAGCTAATTCGGTGTCTATTTTCACGTCGCTCTCCTTCCAATATTTGTCGAAACTTATTCTTTCTAATCCAGTCGGTGTAACTGCGAATACCATTTCATCCGATGTGGAAATATCTTTACTTTGTTGCTTGGATAAACATCTTTCTCCGTCTTCTTTTCTATCAGCAGACTTACTTCTGGTATCCTGTAGTTCTCTAGGCGCGACTAAGATATCATCTTCAGTTATTGTCATATCATCATCATGATCATCTAAAGACTCTTCTGACTTCGAAAACTTCATTTCTGCGACTCCATTAATTTTAATCTCAGTTGTACCATTTACATTAAAATCTTTTTCAATTTTCTTGCAGTCATCGAGGCTTATATCTCCTAAAGCAGATAGTTCATCATCTTTTATAGAGGCTTCTTCAGGTTCGAGGCATATTTGTACTACTTCGAGACCTTCTCCATATTCCTGCAGACATTCGTGGAAGGAATCCATGCCGGTGTGGTCATCAGATGCCAGGGAATTGATGCATTCCTGTGAAACATGCACGAATTATTCGACAGCTGGTAATAAAGTCAGAAAATGTAAACTACTTAAGATTTTATGAGTGTTTTGAGTGAGTTAACGTTCGAGACGCGACGGGGCAGATGTTAAAGTCATTATTGCTGTTTATTTTTTCTTTAGTTACCGATGTAGTTGTGAGTGATCATCAACCAATCAATGTTGAAGTCTATTGTAAAGTTTATATCGCTTCTAACTGTAGGAGTTTACGTTTGATTTTATTTACGACTTGTTACTTTGTGGGCTCTTGTTTCCACGGCATTATTTAGTGGTGTGTTTTATCTTGACTTTGTTGCTGTACAGATAATAATTTTTTCTTCTATTGTTACTTCTATATTAAATTCATCTTGTGATATATTCACAAATTTTGAGAACTTTTAGGAATTGCAATACCTACAATTAATTTCAAAGCTAAGTTAAGAAACATTTGTAAGCTAATTATTACTCTGATTGTTATTAGTTCACAGACAGTGTCACCAAAAGGGACCATTAAGGATGGATACACTTCTTCATATTTGAAAACTGACTCCAAAATTGGAAGAAATGCAAAAATGCAATTTCTTCCAATGCAATTTCCAGAAATGGAGAAATGCAAACAAAATTAAACTACAAAGGCACAAAACAAATTACGGTAAAAAATGTATAACATATGAGGGAGCACAATTGTATAATAATTTGCCAAATAATATTAAGGAATGTCAGTCGATTGCCATGTTCAAAAATAGCTTATGAAAATATGTATCTGAAAATATTTATTAACACCGTTTGGTCATGACTCTGTATACATAGCTATAAATAGTCATTTAAGCTCATTGTAAGTAAACCATGTTTTTTATGAGTGAATAAACAATCATTAAAACTTAAACTTAAATTGAAGGGGCTGTTTAGTTAGGCTCTAAACTGCAATCCAATTGCAAATTGCATTTCTGATGCAGTTTGAACGTAGACCGACCTGCAATAGATCTGTAATCGGACTGCTCGTTGGATTTGCAACCGTTTGGTCATGACTCCAATAGAACTACAATCGGACTGCAAATTGCAGTTGAATTGCTGTTCGTCTGTGTAAAGCCTTATCCTTAAATGCTTATTTGAAACAACGTATAGGAAATTGAAATAAAAACTCGATAATCTTGTGCAACGTATATTTAGCGAGTCACAACGAAGCGTAGAACATTTAACACGGACGTAAGCAACGGACAGACAAATACTAGTTAATATAATTATACCAACAATTTATAACTTAGACCAGGACGATACAAGTATAGATTTAAAGGTACCTGTGTTTAATGAATATTAAAGAGTTATTGCTACTAAATTTTTAGGAAAGACAATGATGTAGAAGATACATTGATTCCAGTAATTTTGGGTGAAAGAACAGAAGGCAAAATAAACCCAGCTCCGCCACGATTCAGTCTATTTTTGTTTGAAAGGTATCACAATCGTGGTTCACTGTATCAAAACTCATTAAATTCTGTCCCGGTTTTGTTAGGTCGAGGTGTGAGTTTCTCACATGTAACCGTCAGTCTTCCCAACCTCCGAACCCTCTACTATCCTCAAATTCCCAATTCCCAAAAGGCCAATAACGCACTTGTAACGCCTTGGTGTTTCAGGTGTCTATGGGCGGCGCCGATTGCTTATCATTAGGTAATACAGTCTGCTCGTTTAGCGGCTTATGCCATAAAAAACCCCGAGACAGAATGTGATGACCTTTGGCACAGTGAAGGTTGTGATACCTTTCATACAGATTTAGAGCTGTGGCAGACGTGGGTGTACGGCCCATACATTTTTGCCCACCATCTTTTGAACAAAACTATATCGAGGGGTAACGGACTATTTGGTTTAAGCGACATTTTGGTCGATATTAAGTTATTATATTTATATTCGACGGAGAAAAATTCGCTGATTCCGAATATATACATATATATGTCGCTTAAACCAAATAGTTCGGAACCCCTCGATATGGTAATGGTACCTATATTAAAATACCCATATTATGCAACGTACCCAGTTTTCTATTGAAATAAAAGCAAACTCTTCATAATTCGCATAAGTAATCAACAAACTTAATTTAGATATTGCTACCCACAGTGGACATTGAATTATGTAGTAGACACCAAATCAGACATTATAAAAATCGCCCAATATTCCTACACACATCAACGGAATGTACGAATTTACAACACAAGTCTAACAGTCTTTATTTATATTAAAATAATTTATATAAAATAATAAATATATCTTTATTATTATTATTATATATTATTTTATTAAAATATCAGTAAATATAATATTTACAGAACATAATGCGTTGCTTATTCTATGATATGTTACGAATTACCTGTAGACATTGTGCTTTTTTATTATAAGCAAAGCATTGTTTAATTCCTTTGAATTGACAGTTATTTTATTTTTAATAATAGTTATAATTTTTCGTGAAATAATTATAAAATTTGTGTTTTTATAAATATCTCGAATTTAAGCGAATTGCAATTGACATCTGACGTAATATTTAAGAAATATGTTTTCTTTGTCTATATATTTGTTATAGTTTGTGAGCTAATGTTTGTTTTTCACATTTAGCCACTTTAAATATCATATTTAAATACATATTTTTATTTATATGATATTTTCAAAATCAGCATTGTAATTTTGTAACGCACTAACATTGAACTTTTTTACGATTACAAAGAGATTGACTAGGACAACTATCACATATCTGAAATTGACAGCTAACACATATTATAATCTAATAATATTTTTTTATTTATTATATATACTAGCTACTGCCGCGCGGTTTCACCCACTCTTCTCGGCTCCTATTGAGCGTACCATGTTATTTTATAGCTCATTGCTTTTCTCGATAAATTCACTATCCAACACAAAAATAATTATTCAAATCACACCGCTAGTTTTGGAGATTAGCTCGATCAAACAAACAAACTCTACAGCGTTATATAACACGTATATAAGATTATATTAATATATGCTATATAATATAATACTTCGCAACTACACAACCATGATAAATAGACATCGATTTCTAAGATCACAATTATTTTATTTTGACACATATTAAAACTAATGGAATCCTGACACTTACGGAATGGAGTACATAATACAGAATATTATGTCTGCAGACATTTCACAAATACCACTGTTCTGAATAAAATTAGAACGCCTGTTGATCAAAAAAGGAGGTTTTTGCCCTAAAATTATCTTTAAATTTTTCGCAATTAACAATCAATAAGGTAATTTTTTGATTTCACACTTTTTTGCATAACTACTGTATTTTTGCTCACCACAAGGCGCTTGTGTAAACCCCATATCATATCATTGGACGTTCAATATTCGACAGCTGCAGTGGTTGGAAATACAATCTCTTGCTATATTTCCGCCATAGCCATTTCAGATAACTACACTCTTCAGCTACAGTATAAATATTTACCATTTTTTGGACATTTAATATTTCTACACACATTTATTTAAATATCTATGACAATTACATAATTAATTCTTTCGCAGTATTGCCATTATCCTAAAATATTAGCGTAATATTTAATTACAAGCGATTTTAAAGGACAGAGAAGAAAATTTAACATTAAGATCGAAAAAACCCAATAGGGACGAAGATTTTAAAGTGCTTACTAATTAATTGGGATAGATATGTATTATTAATAAGATTTTAAGAAATACCAAAAGCAACATTGACCAATAATTCTCAAGCTCATAGATTTTAAAAAGTGGACGTTTCGAATTCAACTTCTTATTGGACATAGACGATTTACCTTCTCATTTTTATTTGGTTATGGAAATACGTCTTTTAGTGTTGTCTCTTTCTTCCACATGAAACCTGCATATAAAAGCTAGCTATTCTATAAGTTTCAATTCAAAGAATCAAAGTGAGCTCGATGGTACACCGCCATGTGATTGGTTATGAGAATAATCTCGACCAATGGCGGACGAGAACGCGATGGAGCTCACATCCACATTTCTACATAAAAGATACCTTGGGGCATTTTTGCAAATATCTCTAACTACGCACATTTAACACATTTTTCTTATCTCATAAGCAGATGATCATTGCTACAACATCAAATATAACTTCAAAAACGCATCAGCTCAATCAAATATCCAGTTCATCACAGTTGAATTCCCCTTCACCATTGCAGTTCCCGGTTCTTGGGACTTCGACACTGACGGTGTACCTCATTCGGTCCTGGTGTCATTTCATTGTGATCTCCGCTTTGATCTTGGGAGGAACTCGAAAAGGTTGGGGATCGACGATGTCTTGAGAGCATTGGAGTTGGAGCTCCATTATATCACGATGCAAAGACATTATTAGACGCAATATCTTCGTAAAGTATTCCAGTTTCTGTAAACAAAAGAAATAAGAATTAAATGACTTAGGTCTTACTAACTATCTGTATGCATAAGAGCATTGTTCTTGTATTATTATAACCTGTAGGCAATACTCTATCTGATAAATCAATAATTATATGAGTTGTTAGCTACAAAGCATGCAAATTAACATTGTACACTAAAGGGAAAATTTCGATTTAATAAAATTTCGTAAAAAAACTTATCAACAACTTAATATTCGCTAGAACAATTCTTAGAGCGGTATTGATATTCCCTTTATTGTACAAGAAGGATTTGTTAGTAAGAATAGAATTTGTAAGAAATGCATGCTACGTCAGGTAATTAGTACTGCTCTAAGCAAAGACAAGCTTTAGTAAGAGAAATCGGAACTTACTTTTATTTCCCCTCAGTGTACAATATCGCGACACACTTCTCGATTTATTAAACATTAAAATTAAATGAAACGGGTTTCCATTTTAAATACAGTTTTTGGTGAATATTTATTTATTTAAAATCACAACAAAATGGATCGTGTGACAACTAATAATATAGCTAATATACGATCCATTTTATTGGCATCAACAAATTACAAATTTTTTATTTTACTTTATAACTATATCTCACTCAGTTTCATAACAACATTTTTGTACATAACTGACAATATAAAAAAAAAATGGTTGCCTGTAAAGTCGTTTTTACGGGCGAAGATTTTAAGGAATTGAATGAACTAGTGCTGCGCGCGCGGCAGACCGATCATAGTTGAGTGGGAGAGAGACGCAAGGCATTCGGCGGGCCTCTCTCTCGTTCGGTGACTCATCGTAACGTTACCGAGCGTTACACTTTTTCATAAGTGACTCCCAGCCGCAACCTAATTTAAGACGTTGTCACGTCAAAATATAAATTTTCAACGTCATAAGATAGTGTTTACTTAGACATTTATTGAAATGTCAGGTTTTAAACTGTTACTACAACATGTCATTGTTTTTGTGTTGTTCAGTTATGTACAAAAATTTAAAAATAAATAGTATTGTATAAACTAAATTATATATATATTTTAATATAATATAAAGTAATCTTTTACCTGGCTTCCTTGTATGCTATGTCCGTTCGCCTTCTCGCCACCAACCACAGTGCTACAGGGTAACGGCTTCGATATCCCGATTGTTACTATTCCTGTAACAAATAAATTTGAATGTTACAATGTGAGGAAAATGATTATGAATATGAGCAGTTTTTACCCATCTGCAAGAAGGAGGATAATATGTTCCGCATTTTTTTATTTATACCTAATCCCTAAAAGGTCGGTAACGCGGTTGCAAAGCGTCTGGTGTTTACGGTGTCCATGGGTGACGCCAATTGCTTACCATCAGGTGATCCGTCTGATAGTTTACCGGCTTAACCCATAAAAAATCTACAGTTCCTAAAAAATAAAACATGTTTCAGGATTGATGAGATAAATAAGATGTGAAATCACGCCTGTCTACCCTGTGGCTAGGCGTCGCGGAGAACCTAATGGGTAACTGGGGCTCCGGCTCGACGTGCAGGAGAAGGAACGGGGTGGTTTTTAGTCAGTAAGAGTCTGACACTCCCTTCCGCGTCACCCAGGCGGGAGCAGTCATTCGATGATTTTCCCCCCTTAAAAAAAAAAAAACCCTGTGGCTAGGCAGATACTATGGAATGCCACTTGCTACGATCATTACACTCCTCTTTAACTTCATCAACAGTCATCAGTCTTCATGCTTTCTCGTTGGTTAAGGGTACTTTTAATTTGGCCCTTCTTTAATATATCGCCAATCTGGTCAGTATATATCCGTCTAGGGCGCCCTCTATGACGGCCCCATTCATATGTGCTCTGTATACTCCTTTCGTTACTCTACTTTCATCCATCCGTTCTACATGTCCAAACCCTAATAACATTCCCTTTTCAATTCTGTTGATACAATATTTTTACCTTACAAGTAATTGCGTTTACATTTAGTTAAATCACTTTAATTGTTCACTTGCCATAACTGTTTTCAACTAACATTATTTTTATGAATTGCACTAATTTCTTAATTAAATAAATATTGCCAGCACAGTTTTTTCCTGAATTCACTCGTAAAACACTGTCTCCAATGTTTTCAATAGCAGGCAACTGATTTCAGCAATAGAAACTCCTACTTCAAAATAAACTACGACTAACACACAGAGCCATCTGTAATGTTTACTTAATATTATCAACACTATCTACTTTTAACAGAATTCATTCTCTATTGTTAGTACGATAAAGTTACTTTTCGTAGACAAGAGGTAATGTAGTATAATTCTAGCACAATACGTGTGTAATTTTGCTGATAAGACATATTACGTTCTTAGATAACGGAATTATTTAGTTAAGGAAAAACATTGATGCTGGGTGACTGGGTGACGCCTTGTCTATTCTTCGCCAAATAATATTATGATTCTTTGACTGCAACAGTATGTGTAACTGCCTTGTTGGCTCGTTGGCCGAGTTGTCGCAAGTGCAACTGCCGGGCAAGGGGTCTCGAATTCGATTCCCGGGTTGGGTAAAGTATTGATGGATTTTTTAAATTCTTAGTTATAGTAGGAGTCTAGTATATGGATATAGGCTCACCCCCTATTACATGAGACTCATAACATAAATAGTGAACAGTGCGTGTAACATGGCATTAAGTGCCGTAATGTAGGTACACCTTGGTCTACCCCTTCGGGGATAAAAGCCGTGATGTTATTACAGGATTACAGTATGTGTAATCCCTGAGGATGAGTTGATACAACTGGCACTGTACAGTCAGAATTGGCTGGCTTATTCAGAAGACCCGGTATCCCTTCTTGGACCACTGAAACCTATACTACACTGATACTGACCACACTATTCGTTTTAGTATGGTAAGAAACTCACATTTCCAAATCTTTATCCCTAAAAACTAGATGCCTTTTGAGTGTCCCCCAAATCGTGATGCACCTAATTGTTTGTGGTGAACTTGGATAAGAGATTTTCAATTACTATAAAGGCAGTTTGAGCTTAAGTTACTTACTTATTTAAAACCACTCCTGCTGCGGTAACTAGTTCACTGAGTATTGTGCGGAATGTCTAATAACTGTAGTCGAAACCTTTCATTTCCAAATCAAGGATCGAAATCCCTGACATTTTACTTATTGATAATGATAAGTCAATATTTATATTAAAGCTAACCAATAATTTATGTTTTCATGTTGTTTCAACTGTTTGATGACACGCGACGCGCTGACTAGCGCGGAATGCTGCTCATGATTATGAGTCTCCAGCATGGTCGAGGTCTTCGTCAGACAGTTACGTGAGTAAGCCAAAAACATAATAATTAAGTACATGTGTGGGAGTGCCATGCTTCGGCATGAATGGGCCGGCTCGACCGGAGTGATACCACGGCCTCACAGAAAACCGACGTGAAGCAACGCTTGCGCTGTGTTTCGTCGTGTGAGTGAGGTTACCGGAGGCCCAATTACCTTCCCCTTCCCCAATCTCCCCAATCCCTGAATCCCCAACGATCCTCAAACTCCTAATCCCCAAAAAGCCGGTGATGCACTTGTAACGCCTCTGGTGTTCCAGGTGTCCATGGGCGATGCCGATTGCTTACCATCAGGTGATCTGTCTGCTCGGTTACCGGCTTATGCCATAAAAAAAATATATTTACCTGGCGGAGCAGCCTTAATGGCGGCGACGGCGGCGGCGAGCGGTGCGCGCGCGACGTGGCGGCCGTTGACGGACACGAGGCGGTCGCCCGGCGCCAGCCGCCCGTCGCGCGCCGCCGCGCCGCCGCCCACCACCGACCGGACCACTATCACTGAACTACCGGCCTCCGATGGGTCCTGGGACAGTGCAATCTTTAATTTAAAACAGAAACTCATTGTGCAAAATTTGCAGCAACAGATGATATCGTGAAGGCTCAGGTGATATTGAGAAGACCCTGTGTTCCTTACATGGTCATTGGATAGATTCACAGAAGTAACACTGTATTTCTCCCCAAGAACCCAGATGCCGTATAAAGGTTTCACGTCCATGTGTGAGTAAAGGAAGCCAAATTCCTCATCTCTCCAATCCTCAAATCCCTGATCCGATAGGCCAGCAACTTCTCCTCTGGTATTGCTGATATTCATAAGCAGCGCCAATTGCTTACCACCAGATGATTCGTCAACTCATTTGCCAGCTTACACCTTATGATTTTTATAATCTTACCAAATAATCGAGTATAGAGAACCCGAGTCCCCTGTCCTCCTTCAGCAGCTGTATGTACTCCACGTGGTCGCTCCACATCGCCAGTCCACTCAGTGGTTCCAAGGACCTTGATCTAACGCGTTCCAAGTCTTCTGAACAGAACTCTGGAAAATAAACCGTTCAATGTTTCACCCTTATTTATTAGCATTAGGTTTTTTGGACAGAAAAAATCTATATAAGTGTTTATGTAGGTTATTCGTAGAAATGTAAAAAATACCAACTCATTCTTCCCAAAAAAATAAAAATTAACTTTTCAATCACTTGATAATTTTGTTCTAGTCTGGTTACATTGTCTGTTTGTCGATTCTAACTGATTAGTCAACAAGATCCACAACAACAAGTATTTAAACTTTACATCATTAAGTTCGTTAGACATCACTCTCAATAAATAACTGTTAAATCCCTCACCATCGTGGTCATGTGGAGCAGACATGACAGTAGTAGCGCTACACAGCGACGCCACTGAGCTCTCTGACTTCGCCTTGATCAACCGCTGAGGTGGACTCAGCAGGTCCTGTAAGCTGCCTCCCAGGATGTTACTCTGTGGAAACAAAAATATTTGTTTAAAGGAAACATCTAATAATACTTTGATCAATCTGGAAATATTCTTGATTGATGGTATGGTAGTCACGCTTTAGAACACAAATCCAAAAAGAATTCGGCCACTGAATAGTACTGACTACTGACGCCATCTATGAATTAGTAATGTAAATATTAGAAACGTTTATTGTTATCTTGCCCACTAGATGGCGTTATATGAACTTAGTTCAAATCCCTTTTTTATCGTGTCATTTTAATACCACAAAACTACTAGGTATTTAATTTTAATGAGCTCAAGTTCAACATTTATTTACCCTCGCAAACCCAGCATCAGGCAGTCGGTCATTGTTGGTGTGGTGCAATTGGTCTCTCTTCCTGACTACCACAAGTATGACGGGTGACGTCACGGCTCGTAGTCTCGTCACCACCTCCACGTGATGCGCGCCTAGTACTCGCCAACCATTCACCTGAAATGAATTTCAAATGCACTATAATACATCATGCACGATATTTCATGATTGACGAAGTTTTATTTTTTTACTAAATGCCCCAATCCTTAAAAGATCATCCATGTTCAACCATATTTTTTGTAGAATAAGCCCGATACAAGCAAACGGATCACCTGATGGTAAGTGATCGGCGCCGCCCATGAACACCTGGAACACCAGAAGCGTTACAAGTGCGTTATCGGCCGTTTGAAGATTGTTGGGGACTCAGGGATTGGGGAGATTGGGGAAGGGGGGTAATTGAGCCTCCAGTAACCTTACTGACACGACGTGAAACAACGCAGTGTGAAGTCGTGGTCACTCCGGTCGAGTCGGCCCATTCGTGCCAAAGTATGGCTCTCCCACACTTGTAACTAACCTTACAACTAAGTTAACCTTATAACTAAGAATCGCAACGTCAATAATCCCATACCTCAAGCAGTTCATCCCCAACCCTGTACATGCCGAGTCTGGCCACGGGTCCATTAGGTGCGATGGCTCGGATGTAGTGTCTGGCCTGCACCTCCTTGCCAGCCACCACGCGCACTGTGCCTTCTAGGGAGATGCCCAGACCACTGTCCTTCTCTTTCATTATTGTGCCCACCTAGAAAGGAAACGTGTGGTGTGAAACTATGCAGTTCAATCATCTTAGCACTAATTAAAGGTTTGCTGGGAGAAAAATGTGTACCGTTGAAGTTAATGCCCATATCTCCCATTTATTATATTAAGTCGAAAAAAATACATATTTTTTACTTGACTAATGTAGTCTCTATTTGTCATTTATAGACTTTTTTTATTAGAATTTAGTGCAAAATAGGTAAACGGACATAATTTCTTCGGGTGGCATCTTTTAAAGAAATGAATTCATGTTTTTAGGTTGTGAAAAAAATAGGAGAAAATATTCTGCAAGAATCATCCTCGTCAGGTTCTTGAGTAGACAAAACGACCTATTTTTACAAAGGAGCTAAATATCTACCATTTTCAACCGTGACTGCCTCGTTAACCGAGTGGTCGCAGGTGCGACTGCTGGGCAAGGGGTCTCGGGTTCGATTCCCGGGTCGGGCAAAGTATTACTGGGTTGTTAAAAAATTCTCAGTAGTAGCACGAAGTCTGGAATTGTGCCCGGTATATGGCAATAAGCTCACCCCCTATTGCATGGGACTCATAACATAAATAGTGAAAAGTGGGTGTTATATTGTACAGTGGCATAATGTACACCTCTGCCTACCCCTTCAGTGATAAAAGGCGTTATGTTATGTATGTATGGTATGTGAGCTAAATATCTATCTGATTTATAGTTCTGATAAAATTAAACCCTTTACTGACCACAATATCATACTGGTACTGGTGTCCAGGCCAATCTGTCTCCTGCTTCAGTATGTCCCGCCACTTGTCCTGTATACGTCGCGCTTCCCTCTCCGATACCTCATCGTCCCTTCCTATCACAATCTCCGCCTCCTCGGAGGGCGACATCGGGGAGGGAAGGTGAGGCTGGATCTCTGACTCCGGTTCCGCTTCTATCACTGTTGATTCGTCGTACTGTGAAAGATAAATAATGTAAGCGATAACTACAATATATTTTAGGATTTTTTTCTATATGATGGGCCGACGTTTGACCACTATCTCGCCTGGTGGTAAGCCATGATGTCGTCTACGATGGAGTACGTCGTCCCATAAGCAACCTATTTACTCGGGCATTGAAGACGCCCAGGTATATTCTTCAGAAAGCAGACTCTGGCAAAGAGTTCCACTCTTTAGCAGTACGCACAAGGAAGCTTGATGCGAAGCGCTTCGTGCGTGCGGGTGGGACATCTACCATGAATGGTGACGCTTCGCCGATTGTGTTGGATAGCAGCGATGTAGTAGTAGTTTCAGAGATAACAGTGGATTATTCGGTTACATCCCCTGCTGAGATAAAGTTTTACTGAGTTGTTTTAATTAACAGGTATCTGCTACTTAAAACACTACTGTAAAGTATGTAAAGTACCTTTACGTAAGTGATCTGTAAATATTGACGGTAGACTAAGAATAGCTGATTTTTAATTGAGCTTCCAGTAACCTCACCCACACGCCGAAATACAACGCAAGCGTTGTTTTACGATTTTCTATTAGGCCGTCGGTCGAGCCGGCCCATTCGTGCCGAAGCATGGCTCTCCCACACTTAAACATTAACTGTTTCACGATTTTCTGTAAGGCTGTCGGTCGAGCCGGCCCATTCGTGCCGAAGCATGGCTCTCCCACACTTAAACATTAACTCATTAACACTCAACTCACCACACTAAAGCTATACTTGGCGAGAGACGTAACTGAAGGGCTGGGTGGTGCAATCGGTGACCTCCTACCATCCTGAGCTGCTAACGCCTTCTGCAGCTTCTCAAACCCCGCCCCACGGAGATACCTACAAGATTTATTACTGAAATTAGAAAGGTTTTAAGAAACTACTAATTAAAATTGACCCTTACCGATAAACTTTTTAGTTTTCAGCCATTTGTGGTCGAAACACTAGTTTATTTAGTCAAAGAAGTAAGTTAGCCGCAGACTCCTACACTATTTACGTGACCTCTGGTGATAATTTATTTGAAAAATGTACCTAATCTAACAGTCTTCTAGAAACATTTTTCAGTGATACGAAGTAGTGTATTTACTTGAACATCTAGTAGTGTATCTTTTGCTATGCTAGTTTTAATGTTTACATTTCCAGGGTTGTCACATCTTACCTAAGAGCTTTCAGTCGTACTACAGGTCCCTTAGCATCCCGCAATAATGCAACAGCACGATGGTTCGTCACTCCATGCAAGGAGACACCGTCCACCTGAAAAGAAGAGAAAACAAAATTAGGCAAGAGATAAAATTTATTGGATTTTACAATCATTAAACCTTGATATTATTAAGACTGCCTCGTTGGCCGAGTGGCCGCAAGTGCGACTGTCGGACAAGAGGTCTCGGGTTCGATTCCCGGGTCGGGTAAAGTACTATTGAGTTTTTAAAAATCTCAGTAGTAGCACGGAGTCTGGAAATGTGCCCGGTATATGGTAATAGGCTCACCCTCTATTACATGGGACTCATAACATAAATAGTGAATAGTGGGTGTTACATTGTACAGTCGCATTAAGTGCCATAATGCCTTTGCCTACCCCTTCGGGGGTAAAAGGCGTGATGTTATGTTATTGTGATGTATGTTTGATATTTAGACTGAGTGGGTGGTAGTAAGTTAATTGTTACTTATATTAAGGCGGTCACCACGGCCGCAACAGTCTGCTATATATGCTGTGCTATCGAGACGTCCATGTTTTATTCCGCTCCTAAGTTAGCAAGAGACCTGCATACACAGATTCTTCAGTTATGTTATGTAAAACTTGATAGAATCATAGTCAACTGGTTTCCTTCTACACTGGACATAGTTGCATGCTTCTACTGGGTACGGTACGCCACAGAACTCAATCAGCTCTTCGCAACTCACCACTGATTAAACCCCACGGTCTCCATAACGAAACACGTTAACCGCAGCGTTCATTACTCCGACAAGTGTTACATTTCTATTAGTTACTTTGTGGCGACACACATGTCACAAATCTACGGATGACGTCACAAGAATCCTACATCGCACATGCAAAGTTTACAAGCGAATAAACATGGATAGAAAAACCCAACGAACAACTGTTGGGCAGAAAGCCCGCCAGGCACGAACACCTCGCCTGGTCGGAGGATCCTCCTTTCCCGATCTTAGGCAACTATACTCTCTGTTCCCTAAAACTTCTTCACATTGTTTTTTGTACAAGTATTTTAAACGTACGACTGCTGCGTCGGTGGTGGTTGGGAAACCGGCCACGTGTTTCCCGCACGCACCAACTCTTTAAGTGATCCACAAATTGTGTTCCGGGTCTGGGTTGCCATGTGTATGTGAACTTTGTAAACACACCTACGACACAGGAGAAAATACTAGAGTGGACCAAACTGGTGAAGGCTGCTTTGTCGTCCAGACTTTTTTTTTTAAGGGACAAGTCCGCCACAGCCTCCCAAAACCGCTGCAACTAAGCCAGGATCTACAGTAGATACAACCATGAAAACACTGGAACATTGAAGTCCGGCGCGTCCCAGGGACATGAGTAACTGTCTTGGTTTCCGCAACGAAGTGAATCAGAAGATATTATAAGAGGAGAAGGAGAAAAAACTATAGTTTCCACTTCCCTCGGTGAATTACTGCAGGAGACAGAATGAATTAAGCCTAAAGGCACAAAAAAGAGACTGTAAGCCAAGTACCACGGAAATTTGACTAAAAAACTAAGTGAGTCCTATGTGTGAGCTGTTATACTTGCTTCCAATAATAGGTATGGCAAAAGCGCCTAAATGCACGGAAATTTGTTCTAGATTCCACAAGGTCCGTATAATAAGCTACACCTGACGAAACAATTAAATTATTCAACATAGTATTACGTTCATATTGCCAGAGATCACACTCCCAGAGTATGTGATGGGCCGACTGCTCGTATCGCAACTCCTCTGTCGAACATTGGCACCATGGTGAATCAATAAGTTTAAATGAGAACAATTTGCTTTTAAAGTTGCCGTGGCCAGTAAGAAATTGGGCAACACAGTGATCCACCTCCAACCATGTCCTCTCCAGCTGCTCATGCACGGATGGGAAGAACTGATACAGGTGGCGGCCCTTAATAGAAGATGCCCATCTACACTGCCATTCGGTTATAAGCTCGCCCCAAACGTCCGTTATTGGCTTAAACAATCTAGCAATTTTATTTCTATCACGTTGTGCTAGAAAGCTTCGAAGAGAGCTTGAGATGTCGTCCAGACTTATTAAACAAAAACATTTTGTATTATTTTTAACATTTCAACAAGCAAGACATCCAATTAAATTGTCTAATACCTATATAGTAATCACCTCTGTCCTTAGTCAGTACATCTCTACCAATTACGAAAGGCTATAAAAACAATAGTTTCACAATTCTCTGTAAGTACATACTGACAAAGGACGCTTATTAAATTAATTAGGGATAGCACCAAGCCTCCCCTAATTGCTCCGCGCCAATTGATCAAACTAATTAAGAGTTAGGAACTGCTTTCAAACTCAGCGGATTATTGAATCTATTGACTCTTGATCTGAACTGTTCGGTCCAAAAGAAAATAAACTTTACGCTATGTTTGTAGAAAGATGAAAATTAAATGGTCTCACTCCTTTTCTCTTATTAAAATGTTGCACACAATGAATTGGAAGTCAATTCAAATGCATGAAGCGAAAGAGGTATGTAGGAATGGGTAGTTGACAGGGTAAGAAAATTAAAAATCTAATTAGTCCGTCAGTAAGATAATTAAAAAATATTAGACACGTATTTTTTATTTTGTTATATAATGAAATGATACTTAGATATAACGAATCAAAGTTTAGGAGTGAGAGCTAAAACGTCATTTCTACGTATAAAATGTACATAGAAGTGACGTCACGCGACATTTCAAATCATTATATCATCGAAACTATTCGTTTCCGTAAAAAAAATAAAAAATACGTGTGTAACGTTTTAAAATAATCTACCAGACGGACATTAAAATAAAAATTAGCGTTATTGGCGTTCCAAAATCTCTGCCATGGGAGACAGGCAACTTCAAATTCACATTTCTTTATTAAGTGAGGTTTTGTATTCAAATGCATTCATATTCCAAGATTTATAAATAAAAATATAGAAAACTAGCTTCTGCCAACAGCTTCGCTCGTGGTAAAAAAAATAGCCTATTGCAGATTATAATCTTCCTCAGTTCCAAATTTAACCCCGATTTCTTTAGCCGTTTAGACGTGGAGGAGTGACTAACAAACATACAAACTTTCACATTTATAATATTAGTAGAATGGTAAAACCTAATAATACTTTGCCCAACCAGATCATCTAGAGACACGAGATTTTTTTTTATTTCATAAACAATTTACATTCTGTGTGAATTAAACTGTCAAACACCAAGCGGTCACCGGTGACCGCAACCTATTGTTCTATAATTGTGTCTACAAAACCGGTACTCGACGAGTTAAAGCTTAAAACTAATAACAAAAGTAGTACAAAATGAAAAAAACAACACATTTCTTAAATCGAATTACAAAATTTATGTGACACAACTACATTAATACATTGATACACTGTTCAATAAGTATAACCAATACAATATAATACATGTCATAAAATCAAATCTACTGTCAATGTCAAAAAAAGATCAATATTAATACAAAGTAGGTAATTATAATGTCAACAGAGAATTAACATCAACAATGTCAAAGAACAAACAAAAACAAAAAGGTGCCCAAAGACCTAACTATCATAGCATTTCGAACACTAGACCGACGCCACACCTCATGAAGAACGAACTTTATATTATTTTCGAAGTGCACTCATCTCTTGGAGTGCTCTTGCACTCACTCAGAGAGGAAACGTAAAATAATGACAAAGTTTACTATGAGTAATTCTCAGTGCAACCTGACACTACCGTGCTATAAAACTAAGAAAATTTTATTAAGAGAAATACTCAAAAAGACTTTGTATAAAGAATAAAAGAAAATGGTATTGAATTTGAATTCTTATCTAAACTGTCAAACACCAAGCGGTCACCGGTGACCGCAACCTATTGTTCTATAATTGTGTCTATAATGACGGTACTCGACGTGTTAAGTAGGTATCTTGCCTACATTGAATAAGTATGGTGCGGCATAGTAACCACTCTTAAGAAGTCTACATTTTTAAACATCCTTGACTAAAGACTTAGAAGGCTGATGCATTCATTAATGCCATGGACCATGCAATTTTAATGAGACATACTACTGATAACTCCAACGCCGTAATTGAGAACTCGAAATTGAATATTCATGAAGAAGAAGCTCCTAAGATTCTCTCTTCAATAAATGATGAAGTCAATAAAAAAACTAGTGACATAGTAATAAAAAATAAGAAACTAGAACATGAAAACGATTATAAAACAAATGTAGATATGTATTAAAATGGAACGAACGTATAAAGTAATGTCTCGATTAACTTGGGAGATGCTATGGGAGAGCCAGTACGTGACGAGAATGCTTCAGAGAAGTGGGTTAAGGACAATGAACAATACAGCTATATTGTACACGGGAACAAACGAGATGATTCAGGATTTTATAGGGGTACGGGACGTATTAATCTAATAAAAGGACGCCGTGATTTAAGTTTTCCTAAAATAAATTTCGAGGATACGCTGACTTGAGTAAGTTTCATAGATGAGGGTGGAAATTGAGTCATCTTACCCGAATTTGCGAATCGTCATGGGATTATGACACGTGACTTTGTACATACTGAATTGTAATTTGAGTAACATGGTGAATGTTTGACAAAATGCTTGTACTTTAGCAATATTTCATGATCTAACGAAACAAATCTGTCCAAAAAACATTTAAATAACACACCCAGAAAACAAATGGAGCCAAAGAAAACCAAATATAAAAATAAAACGTCAGGGAAAATAAGAGAAAAGCCACCGTAAGCCAAGAAAACATTGCTGGATAAAGTGAAATCCCGTGCTCGCAAAATTTGGCAAATACTGTACGTTGAATGTAGGTTGTAGAGTATTGAGTGTCAACGTAATAAGAGCAAAGATATCGACATGTTCTGGGCGCTCCGCCAATTTTGAGAACATTTCGAATTACCGAAATTGAATTTCTTAAAACTCAGCCAAAATTGTGGAGATCTAGGAACGATGCCAGTGAGGCGGTATAGTGTAGCTAGAGCCTTTGTTTATTGAACTTACCAAAAAATATATAATAATAATACAAGTTATTCACACTAAGCCATATAGAAGAGAGACTTGAAGAATACTGAAAACTGAAACAATAAACACAGATGCACAGATGCATCCGAGATACATGAACATTACTTGGATCCCATAACGAATTCAATAGAAAGATTTTTATAGCAATTTTTGTCTGTTTATTTGTACTGGCTAATCTCAGCAGTGGCTGGACTGATTTTGACAGGACTTTTATTGGCAGGTAGCTGATGTACTAAAGAGTAACATGGGCTACTTTTATTTTGGAAAATTTAAAGAAAAAAATAGTTATTGTAATATTAATATTCTACGCGGTAAGTCCCAGGCAATAACTAGTTATCAATTAGATCTTCTTAGAGTTGTTACTTGCGTAACATGTATCGACTCTTTTTACAAGGAAGATTACTTAATCACGAGAGTGATACTGCTGGAGTTTCTCACGACACATGTCACCTAGTTTCCCAAGAGAGGTAGCAAAGTGTTACACCATTACACGAATGATACAGTGAAAGAGATGATTCTTTCAGTATTGCTTTTTACATTACGAACGACGAAAAGACTTTTGTAATACTTCTCCCAACTAAGGGCTCTCGCCCACTTCTTATAGCGATATTGTCGCGCGTTCACTCAAAGCGCGACAGTATCGCTAATGACGTGTATTTCTTTTGTATGCATTTCGCGACTGTAGCCATGCAGACGCGCGGCAGCATATATCCTAATCATAATCACATCAACAGCCTATAAGTGACCACTGCTGACCAAAGGCCACTTCTCACACGAAGCATGTTTGAGTATTAATGGTGATTTGAGCAAGCGTGGTGACGCTAGCTCAATGCGGGTTGGCGATTTCAAACTTATGATTACAAATTACAAGTTTAGGTTTCCTCACGATGTTTTCCTTCATCGTACATAATATAACTCGAAAACAGTCACTTTGGTACTTGCCGATGGTAGGTTACGACCCTGCGCCCTCATACGTGAGAAGCGAGTGTCTTCAATCTCCGTGCCATAATAATCCCTAAATATACATCATAATCCCAGTTTAATCTGATACCAAGTCTTCAGTCGCATTTACAACCGTTCGATCTACAAAGTCAACGTCCCTATTCAAAATTCTATCTGGTCCTAAGGAATTAATAAGGACCCAAAAGGGTCTTGCACACAGGACTATTATCCTTTTAATATTCGCGATGAGGTACTAGCACGTGACGTCATAACCAGGTCATGGTCACAATGGTGATAAAATCTCGTTTGTCGACGCAATTTTATGGGATAGCTAAACGAACTGATTACCTGATGGTAACCAATCGGCAAAGCCGAACACAGTCAAGTCAAATTGTCCAATGACTGTATCAACAATTGAATGACCAAAGCTATGAAACTAGTTAATTCTGTAATGGTTGAAGTAGTTAGCAGAAGTTTCAACTACACGGTTGGCGTCTTAGCTGGGCAAAAGGCTGCCACACAATGTATAGCGGGTTCGGTTCGCTCACGGAGCACCTCTCTGTGTGATCCACAAATTGTAGTTTCGGGCCTGGGTGTCGATGTACATATGTGAAATCGTGTGTTTATAAACGCACCCACTTTTTTTTAAAGGTGGAAAATCATCGAATGACTTCTCCCGCCTGGGCGAGGCGGGAGGGAGTGTCAGACTTTTACTGACTAAAAACCACCCCGTTCCTACTCCTGCACTTCGAGCCGGAGCCCCGGTAACCCGTTACGTTCTCCGCGGCTCCGTATCGGCATCAGCCCTATTGGGCGCATCCGTGGTGGTCTGATGGCCCTTAAAAGCGCGCGCAAACGCACCCACTAGACAGGTGAAAATCCTAATTTAAGCCAAAAAAAAATATAATAAAAAGGCGCCATTTTGTAAAAAATACGCGACCCCCATTGCGTCCCCACGTTATACCCAGTGGGGTATTAGGCCTTCGGTAACCTCGCTCACACAGCAAAACAACGCAATTTCATTGTATGCCTCCTTGAAAGACATGAAAGGAGATGAGAATTTTATCCGTTCTTCAGTATATCTTGTCGTATGTAATTTGTCATTTGAAGATCATTATTATAGGCCTGAGAGACACTCGTGCTTCCTTTACTTTGTCTCTAGTGAATTGAAGGTAATATTGTCAATGTAAAGATGTCTTTGTTACATCTTTATAGAGGTACAAGTGGAAGGTGATTGTGTTGCGGTGTCTTTGAGAACTGGATTGGATTTTGAAGATGATTGTGTCTGAAGATTATGAGCATGGTGAAGTGACAATAACTAAGTATTTATTACTAGCTTTTACCCGCGACTTCGCTAGCGTTACAAAAGGATAAAAGTAGCCTATGTGACATATACCAATACACACAGCGCCATCTATACCTACCAAAACTTTAGTTTTCCCTCGGGAATATCAAATTTTTCCGGGATAAAAAGTACCCTATTATTTAATCCAGACTTCTAACTTTACGTCTGCAAAAATTCAAAGCAATCGGTTTAGTAGGTACAGTGTGAAAGCGGAACAAACAAACTCACTTTCCGATTTATAATATTATATAGTAAGGATTTTCTTATGTGGATGTTTGTTTGTTAGTTATCTTACTAGTTTAATTATTTTATGTTCAACTGTAAGGGCTAGTTTAGGCTGTAAACGGTTTAGCTGTTTTATTTTAGTATGTATTGAATTTTGTATTCTATAATAGGGCTTACGTTTTCTTTTAGGAAAACATCTCTAATTATTAAATTAAATCTTATATATATATAAGAAAATCGTGTTAGTAACACTATTTATAACTCAAGAACTTCTATATCGATTTAGATGAAAATTGGTGAGGATATAGCTTAGAACCAGGAGACGGACATAGGATACTTTTTACCCAATACTTATTTTTTACTTTTAACCGAAAACCAAGAACGGGTACGGGAAATATCGGGATTGCGCGTACGAAGTCGCGGACAGAAGCTAGTAAAGATTAAAATAGGGCCAATTATTCCAACGCATTTTTTTAATTTTAGCTGAGAAATAACTTTGAATATTTGACAATTCTTCCATACTACTAAAAACTGTCAAAAGTCAATTTTATTCTACAGTTAAAAATTAACTGGTGATTGAAAAATAAAATAAA